TTGAAAGGAACTTGACCGGATCACCTTATGAAGTCAGTGGATTCTGGGGGGATTCTTGGGAATTGGGAATTGGGAATTGGGAATTTGGACATTGCATTTGGGGATCGGAAAATCATCGTCATCATCGTCATCATGAGTTACTCGTTGCATGCATTATATTGACTGCTCTGTCTCTGTCTTTGGCTCTGCAGAGTCAATTAAGAGGCGTCGTATGACGTCGAGGGATCGTCGGGCCCCCCCCGATGTCATGGCTTCACTACTACTATTACTAGCAGTAGGTAGCATCCCAGGAGCATTTACTGCAGCTACATAATTTGGAGGTAATGAGGGTTATCGCCGATAGATGTCTTCTATCCATTACCTATCGATCTATCTATCTGAAGCTTTTCCTCAGAGCCGCCATCTGTTGTTTCAACAGACCAGAAGGTTAATGAAAACATTAACAGTTAGGTTCAAGAGGCTGAAACTCTTGATACACTTTTGCTTTAGGTAGATTAAGCCCGTTCTACCTCTCAAGTACCTAGACTAGTTGTTAGAGTTGTGTTAGTTGTTATCAAACTTATTAGCAGTGGAGTTCTCATCGTCATTAATCGTCATTGCCACAATGTCCTTTTCGTTTCTTCATACCTCTCTACAAGTACTACAAAAGTCTGGTACTATTAGGCACTTTCCAAGAAGTGGCCTTGCCCCAAAGTTTGCCTTCTTTTGCCTTCGTTATTTGCTCGTTTGCCCCATTAGTCCTTGTTTTGGACTGCAACTCTGCAAGGCTGCAACAAGTATTAGTCTGGTGGTAGTAGCAAGAGGATAAAACCACACAATCCCGTCATTATGAAAGAAACAAACCTTTATCAACATCGATGATATCTTCGCTCATCAGGAGGAGGAATATCCCTTAAAAGGCTTCAAAAATCTTTCCTTTTTTGAGAAAAGAAGCTCGCACTTGATTGATACATTAATATTATTGATACCCTGCATTGTGGTACAGGATATGTTTCAGGCATCAATTTGTGGATATGGCGTAAATAGTACCTCTCCTAGTACTATCACCTTTTCAAAGCACTTTTGAGTATCATCATTGTTATTGATTCACAGAATAATAAATAAAGAACAGACTTCATGAAAAAAGAAGAAGAGCCCAGACGATGCACATTCGTTGGAGGCACTGAAAAGGAAGACCATTGGCCCAATACTCTAGAGAGGTACTAGGTAGTATCCTTAAGTGGGAATCCCCTCTTTTCTCCTCTATCGAACTGGTATCTTTGTCAGTTTCGACCGAAACCCAAATCTTCACACCTGCGCCCAAAATTCCCAAAATTTGCGTATCTGAGGAAGTCGGCAGTACACTCAGTGCATCTGACTGGGCCACATTCATGCCAGTCAAACCCACATTCTAGCTCCGCAACGTGGAATGAGTCTATCTATCTACCTTATCCCGTTGCCTTGTATCTGCATCACTCGGGATCTTCCACGTCTCCCCTCCTGTCTGTCGCCCTTGCCTGACACTTGCTGATTCCTAGCCACATCAAAGTAGATGCACAGTCATCGTATCTTATTTTTATCCCCATCTTATTATTCGCTGACCCCTGATTTCTGACCTTGATTGCTTGTTGTGTTGGGTTTGGCTCATCGGCTGTTGTTTCGCTACACCCGCGGGCCAACATTGCTTGGACGGTTACGCCCTGCGCGTCTGAACCCTTGCAGCCTCTTCGTTTCGTGGCGCGTCCAGTCATTTTTCTCTTTCGCTTTTACTGAGCATATTGGTTTGTTCGCTTGGCGACAAAAGCAAAAAAAGAAAAAGAAAGAAAAAGCAAATAAAGGGCAAACTAATCAGCCAGTTATCTCCTTCACCTATCAGGGCTAGACAATTCCACTGATACTGTCCCTTCTTTCTCGCCTCTCTTCGCTATGTGGCCTCCGTTCATCGCCTCCATCTGACTATCCACTGACATGTCCTTGGTAATCATCACTCCAGTGAATCTGTCGACCCACGGTGACAATATCGGTTCAGCTCGTCGTGGCAATTTGCGGTGAATTCGAGGTTCAAGATGCCTGGCGTTGAAACCACTGGTGCCTCTGTGAATTTCCCAGAATCGGTTCCCGAACGGTCTCTCTTCAGATCTTGCAAGTCCCTGTCTCGGAGAGTTGAAGTGTCCTCGGATCTTGATCTCGCGCACGCAGCCTCTTCAAACAATGGCGGCCATACTTCCGGAGCAGTCCCGATCGCAACCGCCCCGGCGCTTCCTTTGACTCCACCCAGCGCTGGCCACGAAGAAGCATCGTTGAATGACGCGTCAGGCATGCAAAAGACTGCCTCTTCGCATTCTGTCAACTATATCCATGGTGCGATGACGCCGACCAAACCGTCCCATCCCCCCACTCCGGAGACAACGCCCCCTCGCACAACCTCATCGACATATCGACCAAGTCTCAGTCAATTTGGGCACACCTCAGCGTCCTCTAGAGCTGAGTCTTTTCAAACTGCCCGTGAGATGATTTCGGATGGCGAAACTGTGACGCCACATCGTTCGACCCAGTCATTGCACCATCAGAAAAAGCGCAGACCCTCCCAGCAGAAATCGTCTCAGAACGAGAGTCCACATGGTTCCAGTGATGCCAGTTTTGGAGATGATAGGTCTACTCCAGTCCAGTCCGAAGAGACGCTGAGGCCCACCAGAGTTGATTCGTATGATGGTCGCGACGAGGAACGAGCGGCGTCCTCTGATCGCCGTCCAAGAACCAGAACAGAGAAGCCCCGTGACAGATCTGTTTTGGACGGGAACGATGAGGATCTCCCTCCAATTCGTGGAAGGAAGCTGCGTGACCGGGTCAAAGATGCTCAAAGTAGCATGGCAAGCCCTTCGCTGGAACAGTTTCGCGAGGAGATAGGGTGGCCTCCCGCTGAAGAGGAATCCCGGCGAAATTCCGGTGTGTCAACATCGTCGACAATCGAAGCTATGATCATTGACGCTCCGCGACCGGCCAACCGAACACTGCGGCATACGGAAAAGAGGCAGTCTCTACGCTCCGCCAGCTCGCCCTTGACCAAGTCGGAACGTACATCGCTTGTTTCCAATCCGGACTCTCAGCACCGCCTAGTCCATAAAGCTGCTCGGATCACAGAACACGTTCGTAAGAGCATTGCTTCTGAAGTTTCTGCTCCAGCCAGTGCCACACCGGGCGGTCCTCCTAGAAATATTGAGGTTGTCCCTGTAGTCGTGATTCCCGAGCGACGTTCTTCTCTTCAATCTTCTCAATCCGTCAGCAGGAACCCATCCAAGGCTGGTTCCCGGCGATCCAGTCAGCGACCTGAGTCTTCACGGAAAAGTAGACCGCCATCTCTCGACCTTACCCGTCAGAAGAAGCGGACATTTTCCGACTCAATCGCTACTGCTACCCCAGCGTCAGATCCCAGAGGTCGCAACATCGGTCGGCCGGTGATTCCGCCTCGCAGTTCATCGTTGTCGGCGCCCACAAGTAGAGACAGCTCACGGCGTCCGTCCCTCACCTCCGAGAGCCTTCAAAACCAGGGCATTCTCAAGGATCGTGAGCTGGATAAGGCCCCTATTGAACACCCCGGACCAAAGCTCGACAATCATACTATGCGTGCCGGTCACTGGGATGTCACTGATGCTCCGAAGACACAATCCATCTGGATCGGCGTCGAAGACATGACTCACCTACGCCCGCCTTCCATTCTCTTCACGCCAGCCTCAGTCGCATCATCGTCGCCAGGGTTGATTGAAATCAAGGAGGCGAGGACGGTTGCTTTCTTTCCTCACAATAATGAGTCTCTCCTACTTGTTGACCAGCCTGTGCGAGCTGCACTCGATCCCCGGGCGCCTCAGCCGGATGATTGTCAACGACGGAGGGATTCACGAACGCCTGAAAACCTTCTATCTCAGGACCCGAGCTATGTCGATTCACCTCTGAGGAACCCTCGCCCGCCACCGAAACCTCCAGTCTATAACATCATCCCGCCAACTCCTAAGGATGAGGCCGACCGGCAGCTGAGGGTGGCGGATGATGGCGTCGAGTTGAATGGGAATCGTCCACGGCGGTTTGGCTCACTCCGACGCGGACGGGTGGTTCGCCCTCGATCGGATTCATTTGATCGTTTCGTCCGATCGTTGTCCGTAACCTCAGCGAAAAATCGCAAAGCTGGCAGAGATATTGACAGCCGGCTTCATCCATTCTGGCGCCCACGTCGGTTCTGGGACGACTCGCCGGAGTCAGAAGAACCTCCTCAGCAAGCCGCCGATATGGAGTCCGATCAAATCATTAGCAACTCGTTGGGAATGCCTCAGCCACGGGTTGTCTTCGACGGGCCTTCCCTCGCTCGTCGTAGCCCGTTGCAGGGCACGAATCCTCGCCGTCGTCCCCAAAGGAGCGGTGCTCTGGTAGGCGCCACCATGTTTAGCCCCGAAGCGCTTCGCTCCCAGACCTCTCTCCATCAGGGTCGCATACTCTCCTTGACGTGGTGGAGGCTGCGCCTTCGACTGGGCCCCGTGCGCAACCTCCGCAGACGCCTGAGGCGCTCGCTTCAGCAGCGCGAAGAAGCAAAGCGCGAGGCACGAAGAGAAAAGCTGAAGCAGAAAATCGGCGAGGCTGTGCTGGTGGGCTCTAGCATGCAGGCCCGCGACCTTCTTTACCGCCCCTGACGCTATGTTATGAAATGAATCGCCATGATCTCTTTTCTCTGATAGATTCTTGTGGCATGCACTCGTATGATATGACTGATGCCGATGATTTGCCCGTTTGCATACTTTTTCTATGCCATTTTGCTGCAGCAGTGTTTTTCTCCACCTTGCATGACATTTACGACTTGACGATATAACGACGAGAACGAGCCACCATGAGATTTGTCTAGGGTTTGCGTGCATTTGCTTTTTTTGTTCTTATGAATTCATTGATATAGCCATATGTGTACTGGATGTACTACTATGCGATAAACAAAATCAATCCAATCGCTCAACCAAGCACGATCTACGACAGTCTTTGCATCATCTCCTCTGCCTCCCTATTCCCCCCATTCTCCCTCGCACCGCCATCTGCCCAAACTCCGCCTCTCGCTCCCTCCGCCGCATCCTCTCTCCCTCCTCTTCCTCCCGCTCGGCACTCGGACCCGTCGACGCATCCCTCCCCACGGCCTTCATCCGCTCCCACACGCTGGGATCAAGAAAGGGCTGCGGCGGCTGCGACAGATCCACCTCGACTGTATGCGCCTTTGACCGGTCGTCTGTAGTTGCTGTAGCTGTAGCTGTAGCTGTAGCCGTAGTAATCGAAGACAATGAGGGTTTGATGGTGACGCTGGCGGGATGGACGCTGGGGTTTATTGTTTGGGGCACGGGGCTGGGCTTCGTGAGGGGTCGTTTGGAGGCGATGAGGAGGGAGGAAGCGGGGCGCTGGGCTTGGTAGGCTGGTGTCCTTGTCCTTGTTGTGGTTCTGCTTTCGGCGCTGCGTTGGGACATTTGTCTACCTCTGTAACCCCTCTAAATTGTATTCGATCAATCTGTATTTGATGGGTTGTTTGATACCTACGCGGTGATCAACGGAGAGGGAGGTGAATGCAGACTCAGATGACATAATCAGTCAGGTGTCTATTATCTCATCATTGGTGGATAGAAATACTGCTAAGCAAGCAATCCCGCTCAAAATCCGTGGCTGTCATTAATCGCAGTGAAGCACAAACATGGAAAAGTATGGCATGGCGTAGCATAGCAAGACAAATAGGACAGACATAAAAGCAACCCGACTCCTTTTGCTCCGGACCAAAATGAGAGGCGTCAATGTGGTATATGTATGATACAACTCGACATGTTCGCGTGAGATACTGATGAATACGGCGCGGTCGGGTACTCTAGGCCATAGTTTGTTGCTCCATCCCTGACATTGCGGAGTAGGAGTATGGGAGATCGACGAGGCCGTCCAGGAGCCAGTTCAAAGGATCAAAGACCTCATAGTTGGGCTCGAGGAATCCGCTGGGTAGATTGGCCACTCCGCTGGCCGGCGGAACTCCCAGGCTGCCTTGTGCGAGCACAGGGGCGGGCGCGAGACTCGGGTCAGCGGGGAGGCCGGGTGTGGAGGACGAGGTGCGCCCTGCGGGCCCTGCGCTTGACGACGCCGAAGATTCCGCGTTCGAGTCGGGATTTGTTGGGTTCTTGAGGTAAGCTGGAAAAAAAAGGAAAGGTGCATTAGTTCGGGTTTCATGATACTGCAAAAAACTGTCGAGCATACCTTCGATATTGCGGCCTTTGGTCTGTGCGTCTTCTCGCCATCGCCAGACAGAATCAAACAAAAGTGACATACTCATGCGGCAGCGGACCTTGAGCATCAAGGTATCGTCCACCTCGGCATTACTAGCGGATGTTTTCTGTTGCTGGGTACCGCCCATTCGCCACATTTGGGCCAAGACTTCCGCCAACCGTTCGGGGAGGTCGTTGCTGGACACCGACACGCCCCGAATCGCCCAGATGGTTCTATTGAAAAGGCTCTTGGTGTAGTCCATATCTATGTGCGCCGCAAAGAAACTCTTGCAGAGCTTGAGAAGTGTGCAGGCTCCAGCAACCATCATTTGGTACATGTAGTACGGCGTGTAGGATAGCACTGGGCCAACATCCGTCTCCAGAGTCATAGCGGACTCGAGGAACGACGTGGTTGCGACGTAGAGAGACAGAAGACGTTCTCGATAGTCCTTGGCCCTAGGATCGTCAAAGAATGCTGACAGGTGAAGATGGAGATTGGAAGCACGCAGAAAGAGGTCGGTTATAGCTGAACCACATTAGTGACGCTTCACATATCGGCACAGGCTGGGAGCGCTTACCGTCAGTCTTCGATTTGAGTTGGTCCTCAAGTTCATCAAAATCCCGGGACAGAAAAGATATCAGCGTGGATCTCTCTTGGTCACTGCATAGGCCAACAGGGTCCCGCCGGTTGGTGTAGAGCGTCTTCGTGACCTTGTCACAGAAGATTTCAATATCGAGTCTGCGTCTAATATCCTCGGGCAACTTGAAGTTCGGATCCACCGACCCGCTCGCTGATAGTGTCCAGTCGTACAGAGTAGATGGTGGCTGACCGTATCCCGTGGCAACCCTAGAGCCCGTCAGCGCCGAGGTCAAGGAGAGTAAAAAGATATGGACATACCGCTGTGCGACAACATTACAAATGGCCCAGGTTCTCACCTTGTCCCTGAGCTCCTCCTCGATGAGTTCTACTCGAAACTTGCTAAAGTCCTGAGTATGAGACGGTCGGTGCAAGCCAAGTTGCATGGCAACTTGCATCATCATACCGCATAACATAAAGGTAGGATCCGTCGAGGTACTGCTGGTAGGGAACGGCCATGAACAGAGCAGACAAAGCGCCTTGACAACGTGGTAGCTCTGGGGTATATCCGCCAACGTACTCCATACCAGTCGTGTGACTGGGCCAGCCAGCGAGTTGAGCAGATGGGTATCTGTCTGGTACCGCCGAGCGCCAACGCTGATGATAGTCCAGAACAGTAATGGTGATACGCTGTAGTAATCGTCTGGCGAACGTTGTCGGTCAAGGAACGGCAGAAAGGGATGATAGAACATAAAGAACCTGTCTTGGTAAGAACGATGCAAGGAACTCAGTGTTGGGGCAAGCGGAACTTACAGGTCAAATAGCTCGGTCACTTTCTCCGGCACCACCACCACGTCTTCAATACGCTTGAACAGATTCCCATTCCTCATGTAGTTCGAGCCATCGAAGCCGGAGCGCAAGTCAAGTAGAGATGCAACAGCCTCATGAGAGCCCATGTACTGATCGGATGATATGGCGGAAGGTGTATGATATACACCCGCAGGGCTGACATGACTCGACTCTTGCTTTGGAGTGACATGTGCGGACTGAAGAGAAGACGCGTGTTGCTGGTGCTGAGGGGTCATGGCAGCAGGGTTGGCCTGCACGGTGGCAATCTGCTTTCGTAACTCGATGATCTCCCGTTCCATCTCAGCATTCCGACTCCTCTTTCCAACGCGTTTGAAGTTGGACTCGATCTTGCACTGGAGCTTCAAGCGACGGCATCGTGAACAGTCTGTCCATGGGTCTTGAACCACATCACATCGAAGCTATCGAACAAAGCTCCTGGTCAGCACGGACTACATGGGGATTGAACAGCGCCAGCGGCGGCAAGCAATAATCTCACCTTTTGTTGTCGACATTCGTTGCACGCTCGCTTCACAGGCTGCCTCTTCTTCTCCTCCCGCTGATCATTGTCCTCGACATCATCGACACTGCCAGGGGAGCTTTCCAGCCCCGCCATGGCGACGGAGCGCTTTTTGACTTGTCCCAAACCATCGGGACCGACAGCGGGAGAAGCAGACGAATGGCCAGTACCTCCCATTACGGGGCCGGCAGCAGCAGCAGCATTATTAGTATTCCGTGCACTCGGCTCCAGAATGTCCCCTTGCGCACCCCCGCCTCCGATTCCGCTCGACGATCCTCCGATGGACGCCAGGCTGGGAGGGTTGACGATTACTGGACACGCGGCGGCCGATAAAGCTTGGGCGTGGAAAAAATACTTCCCCGGACTGGCTGTCACGCGCAAAAATTTTTTGACCAGGAAGAAGGATCCAACGCTAGGAATAAATGCAAGAAAAACCTGATATAAACGAGTCTTTCCCTGAGGAAGATTATTTCAATCAGAAAATCCAAGTTACCAGCCAGTTGACCCTCGTGCCACTCGACAGACCCCTCAGCAGTGGATGAGTAACAAGCGGGGGAGAGAGGAGAGGCTGTCCGATCTCGCACTCGCTCACGTGCTGAAACCACGTGACTAATGCCTATCTACAACTAAGTTACCTACACCGTACATGTCTACAGCAACTGCGTATCTAACCTACTACGGGTCTAGGACGCTCCTAACGTCGAATCAATCGTATTGAGCAATGTGTCTTTGGTGTCTTCTGCAGCATCATTGTGAAGCCTATCATAGCCGCCATGAGAAGAATATATTCTGAGTCTCCACTGGGGAGTTCAATCGCTGCCTGAGGGCGCTAAGGCATCTACCACAAAGATGGACTCGACTTACCATGATAGCATCTTGCTTAACAGCAGTAAACAAAGGGACTATCTTCAAGTGCTCATCTGCCACGTATCTACGCTGTCCTTACTAGTAACCGAGATTAATCGCGGCTATGCAAAGACCCCATGCCATCGGCTTCTAGAAACCTTCCACGGACCACACTGTCAGACTCCTCACCTGTGCCAATGGTTCAGTGCACAGCTAAGCCCGTCTAAGCCTCCGACGGCTGATTGAGGACCATCCACTAATGATTCCTTGTTTGGACCCTGGACATAGGCGCAGCATATGATTGAAATAATCCGAGGGGGCTGTGTCTCGGCAACTCGTTGCCCCAAACAGTCCTCGCCCTGCACTGCCGTTGCCCGGTGCTCAGCAGGACCCAGGTTCCTAGGCACTTCACTACCTTAGGCTATTCAAGATTATGGGCGCTGTCTCATACCGAGAGCTTCATGACGCCTTGGATTGGGTCGACATTTGCTGGTCTGCGGTTCGATGACTGGATAAGGTGTTGCATCATTCTTCGTCTCTGAACTGAGGTTCTTGATGGCTTAGACTTAGTTCTGATGTTATTGACCTGTACGCGAAACCTGGTGAAGTAGGACTGCCGAGTAACATATAAAGAGCTGCTCACTTCACTCCTTGCAAAGAATTATCTCTTCCTTAACAAGTTAATATACATGCTCATTAATGACTATTCCAATTCGCATATACCCGTCAACATGACTATCACGCAAGAGCTCGTCAAAGACAAGGCTGCGGATGATGCTGATCGACCTTCTACCGAGCAACCACCCGGCTATGACCAGATTGACGAGCAGCCATCAACAATCCCACCGCTGAATCTGTCATACAATGCCGGGCCCCCTGGGTTAACAACCGTCACCAGGGACCAGTGCGTCGTCCATCTCAAATTCCTCGCGGCACTAGCGGACCTGCGTGATAGTGTGGCCGGGAACGATGGCCTCTTCCGCCTCCATGACCCACCGCAGTCCGAGTTCCCTGAGCATGTCGATGAGGTTCGGGCTCGCATGAGAGAAAAGAGATGGGCTGTCTATACGGCTAGAGCAGTTGATCGTTATACGAAGTGGTGGGAGACGTGCGTCCCCAGCAACAGGCCATGCCCTCGCCTTAAAGACCTGGAGCACGAGACCTATGATCGCATTACTCAAGGCAACTACCTGCTATCTTGGTCCAAAGATTCCCTGCCCCCTTTAGGTGAGTGATCCATACATAGTTTTATTCATTTGCCTATTTCCCGCCAACTTTGGCAGTGGCGTCGAGTAGTACTAACGGGACAGATGTCCTCATGGTATGGCATGCGCATATGCTGAACCCCAGAGCCTTCCTAGAGGATTGCATTCGGTCTGGGAAGATGAGCCTCTGGGCAGGCGGCTTCCCCTGGGAAACGATCAATGATTGTATTGATAACCAAACGCTAGAGTATGAGGCGGGGGATCGCGCGAGGGTCCGTTTCATGGCCATGACCCGCTGTGCATGGGACAACCTGCACGACCCGCTGGAGAAGTTAGTCGAGTGTCTCGACTGTGAGAATAAGGTATCGGTGCCGTGGACTCGGGGCACAATCTCGCTCCCGATTCAGATGGCGTTTGACGAGTTCGACGGCTATGCAGACAAGAACTTTAACGTAAAATGCTCGAAGTGCGGCTTGACAATCGACCACGAGCTGCTGCGAGTCCAAAAATTCAGAACGGATGTCGTGGATTGGCTGAAGGAGAAGATACCGATGCCAGGGACACTGTACAACTTGCATGGAGTCCCGGAATCAATCAAGAAAAGTCGGACGAGTCCACACTCCACGTTCCCTAATCGATTTATCGAGGCACTGGGCACTTACATCCTTGACTACACCGACGCCCGGCAAGCACGCTGCATGACTGTCAGTCAGCTGCGCGACAAGCTCGAAAGCAAGCTCAAAGATTGGCAAATCATGCGACTGGCAAACAACGGGAGGCGTCACAGGGAAGATGGAATAGCCCTTCGTCGCATGATGTCCCATTACTGGAATAACACCGGACCCTTTGCTCTAGATCTGGTCGGGGCAGTTATCCGACAGGGGACGTTCGTCCAGAAGATGGATCACATCGACTGGCTCCACTCGCCGACTGTGATGGCAACCATGGACCGCCTGATACGCAAATACCATGTGTTCTTCCATATCATGGCGTCGTATCCGCGATGTATGGCCGTCCCCACCCTCGACGTGGACCTCGCCTGGCATACGCATCAGCTTGGCCCCCAGCGATACTTCGAGTACTCCGTCTACCAGACAAAGTTGCATGCCAGGACGGCCACCTTCATCGACCACGACGACAAAGTCGATGAGAATCGGCTCTCCGATGGCTTCGAATGGACCAGCAAGATGTACAGGAAGCTAACCGACGGCGAGGTATACAGCGAGTGCACATGCTGGTACTGCGAGGCCATCCGCGCGCCCGACCTCCGGAGCGGCCTTTTCGGCTCCTCTACAGCGGCCAAAGCCCGCGAAGCCGCCGCCAATCTCCACGACAGACAGGACATCTCGTCCGATCCAGAAAAGAACCCCCACATCTCCGCTCACAATGCGGTCCGAGCCGAGACCAAGGACAAGATGCTTGGCATCGATCCTCGAAGGATACAGGCCTTGAAACTCCGTCACAATTACGAGAAGGCGCGCCGACGTGCTGAGAAGAGAAATCGCAAACTAGGCAAAGCCGACGATCCGAAAAGACGTTCCTCGTCATCTGCAGCAGACGCCAATATGTACGCCGTTCCCATGGTCTGGGGTTTCCCGGTGGTCGTGCCCTACTACGGGCCTTACATGTGCGACCCGTGTGTGCACCCTGACGCTTACGCATCAAACCCGAGCTGTATGAGCACCATTGCAGGAGCCTATGGGAACTGTTGTGCAGGCACATGTGGGGGCGGTGTTGCGGCTGGAGGCTGCGGTGGCATGGGAGGGTCATGCAGTGGAGGATGTGGTGGTGGTGGAGGAGGGTGTGGAGGGGGAGGCGGCGGAGGAGGATGTGGAGGCGGCGGTAGCTGAGACTATACTCTATATCCCATGCGCGCCTTTGCTTTTGAGATTTCTGATGATAATGACTTCGCAATTGCTTTATAATATGCTCGTTGAATGCCTGTAGTGTTGCTCCAACTGTCTACAGCCAAATTCATAAAACTGCACAAAACCGCCAAAACCACAGGATAGCATTCCGTAACGAAAGTCGAGACTCTGTCTCATGGGTATCCAAATATCGAGTGTGAAATCAGAATTCCGAAGCGCTGCCCGAAGAAGCATGCATGTATGTATATCGAGTCGAATATATCTAGGGAACAGTCCCAAACAGCGGTATGGATGCTTCAATAAATGCTTCAAGCGGACAGAATATGAAAGATAAAGATGGAAACCAAGCCTATCCTACATCACAGTACATCTAGATCGCCTTTTGCTCCTTTCGTAGATTGTTTGTTCATTCCACTCTTCTATACGTCTTCGCCATAGCTCATTCGCTGATGTGGACGAGAGGGTAGGATCTGTGGATACTCGGCGATTGAGAGGCTGGATTCCTGTGGATGGCAACCGGATGTCATGAGATTGTGAGCGTCGAGTTGCCGATCTGTGGATACTATGTAGTCGGCTGCTACTTCGCACAGTTGCTGGATCAATGAATTCAGAACCTGAAACTTGCAGGTTGGGAGACGAGACCGAAAATGGATAATGATTCATTCCCTGGGGTATGGCAAGAGCTGCAGATGCATCGAACTGCCAGTCATGATCCAGAAAGGGCTGGTCAATCGCAGGTCGCGCTTGCACCGGGGCCGGCGTAGGACTCATTGGAAGGGGTGAATGGGTTGGGGTGTGAGCACCATCTACTCCTGCTGATGGCTCCTCAACATTGGTAGGTGAACGGGGACGTGCTTCTGGGAATCCAGTTTGACGTGAACAGCTGGCAGAAGGGTCTCTCCTTCGAAAAATGTCATCTGGTCGTAATCTTTGATGACCGGTTTCGGAATCCCTCCTTCTCCGGGCCCATAGTGAGCCAGTGACGGTGTTCAGCCTCTGCGGAGGAGTTGCAGAAATTCCTTCCTGGGACACGTGATCCCAACGAGTAGTTTGCGATCGCCGGACTGAGGTAGGTGTGGCGCCAATTCTCAAAGACGGTTCCGTTCTCGTGGGAAGAAGAGTCCTCCTAAGATACTCCGGGAGCGGCGCGTCGGGCTCACTGGAGTAAGGAGGGGGTGGTGGGACCCAGTTATCGGCATCACTTTCGTGAGGGACCTGAAACACCTCGGGCACCTGCGGTATTTGCCTTTCATTCTGTATTCGACTCCATCGATCGCGATACAAAGGGTTGTATCGCCCACGACTCGATGATGCAGCCGTAGCAGCACGACGCAATGTGTCTTGAGATCGTGGTTGCGTGTTGTCGTAGGGAGAATCAGGTATTGGGGGGGTTTCGTTATCATTTGAGGAGCTGGAGAAGAAGGAACTATGCCTTCGAGGACTGAATGACAATATATGGTGGTTATCACGACTTACAGACGTGCGGGTCTCTTGAGCAGCAGCTCTTACTCGTTGAGACGCGGCATCACTGTGATGCAGGAGGGTCCGCCTCCTTTCCAACTCCACTTCGGTATCCAAACTCGAATTTGGCTCGCTCAGTAGTTTCGGCTCTGCTTCTCCAATCTCAATACTGACCTCGGTGATTTGTCCGTTGGTTGTAGACCGCTCAAAGTCCAAGAGAAGGACTCTTCCACCGTCAACTGGGACATCTTCATCGCCAATCGTAGGGGGGCTGACGCCACCAGGTGCCACTGCCACCAGCCGACGTTGTCCGAACATAGAGTGTGCGTACCGAACCCAGCGGGCTGCGGTCATTCCGGGCATGTCGCTCATCTTGTGTCCACTGACTATTGTTTTGGGCTTGTCGATCGCCCACTCCAATCGGAGGGCATTATTATGCGGCAGACTGCCCAAATTCCTCATCGGATGGTCTTGAGGGGCGTTAGGTGTGGCTTGCGTTTCTCCAGTCGAACTAGCAATATCAAGTCGACTCGGTACCCCGTACACCCAAAGGCCGGAATCTTGGAATCCCAACGCAACGAGCTCGCCTTGGCCGTCAGCGGAAGGAAGCATTGTCGGTAATGCCTCCTGTAGTGTGTTGGTGGAGATGGGTCCCACAAAATACGTCGTTCCGGAGTTTGCATTGGTAACCCCAAACGTTCTGAAAGCTCGGATCCGGCGGTCATACCCCAGAATCCAGCTGCCCTCGCCCTCTGCATGAAGCGGTAGTAAGCAGGCGTGGCTGTAACCAGGTATCAGGTCTGGGAAGAGGATCTGGGTGGTCCACATCCGAACTTGGACCTCTCTCGGGGATGATTCGGTGTCTGGGTCAGTGTAGAAGGGCACTGTTATAGTGACCAGGCTGCTACTGACGCTGTCAGCAGAAGAGCCAATCAGCATGACGCCGTCAGAAGAGAACGAGATTGCGTCGACCCCATCGCAGCGTACGGCTCTGCGTTCAGTGACGAGAGCTCCCTCTCTGATAGCGTACATTTCGATTTTGTCACTGTAGGCGACTGCCAGGACACCTCCGCTGGGGGAAAGCGCCAGAGCACGGGGAACTTCTGTCAACTTGAGATCTTGGATCAGTGAAGCTTCTTCGTTTGTTAGACTATAGATATTGATTTGGTGATCAGATGAGACAACTGCAAGGAGGGAACCATCATCGAGAATGGTGGCGTTGAGGGGGCGTCTCCAAGTTTTGAGCTCGTGCTTTACGGCCGCGGAATCAGAAGTTACGTCGAGGACAACAATCCTTGAAGAACTGATGCAAAGAATCATCTGAGCATTTGGCGAGAAAGCAAAACGAAAAGCCTCGCCCTGCGGGAAAGCTGTTGAAGAGCTCATGGAGGTTGAGATGAGTTTGATCAGAGTTTGACGAGGTCTGAGAAAGACCTCGAACGCATTTCGCCTGACCTCTGATAGAAATCGGCGTTTGAGGTATGCCAAGTTTTCCGGATTAGCCGTACTGGAGACAGATTCTCGCATCATGGAGAATGATGGACATCGAGACAAGTGATGCGCATACAGTGCGGCACAGTCCGAGATGCGCCTCCATTTTCGATTGAGCAAGGCAAGACTCGCGAAAGTGTTGGCATCAACAATGTATAGAATCCTACGTGGACAATTAGCGCAATCCTCTCATCCTGTCGCAAAGTATACGCGTGGACGACAACATTGAGAAGGTATTGCGTGCAGAACTTCAGGTCACTTACTGCTCAATCACACTGCGAGGTAAAAGACCGAAAGGCGCCGAGATCTGTTCACGAGCCTCCTTTTCGGATGTCATGCACGGCTGACGCTCTTCCTGTACGAGACAGGAGCCCTCTAACCGCTCGACGCTCGGCATCCGAACATCTTGGTCCATGATAGTCGCATGGAGACATCTACATCTGGTAGAAGAAGACCATGTCTGTAGCCAGATCAATTCAATTCAAGCTCCAGACAATTATGAGGATCTTCTTTTTCCCAAGAAGTGAGGAGACTAGTGGTATAGCAGAAAATCCAGAGTGACATTTGACGTGTTTTAGGGGAAGATGCAAGGATTAAGGCGCCAGTGCGGGCACCAAGCGGTGCTTGTGGCTGTGTTTGCACGCCAACGGTGATCTATTACTTAGCTACCTTGAGGGCGTGTCTGAGAGGTGTTTCAGCAGCGCACAGAGTCAGGAGGATTGGGGATAAGACATCGTACGTGACGATGTTATGCACCACAAGGTGTCATTTGAAGATGGTAGAAAGACGAAGACGATGAAGATCGGACCCTGGTGATCGAACTCGCCTGCTGGATACTCTATCTGTCTAAGGTATCACTTTAGTGTCTCCGTGACAAGTAACAATAATACATACTAACTGTTTTCGGGCATAAAAATAGCAGAGGGCACGTGGTTGGCCTCAGTGCTGAGTCAGCATCCCGATGACAAAGGGCAAGAAAGGTAAAAAAAAAGAGGAGAAAAAAAGAGCCGACAAGAAGAAGGAAGGAAAAACGCAAAAGCAAGACAGAGGATGACAGGAGAAAACTGAAACTCAAAAATAGAGGAGAAAAACGAGTCAGAGTCGATCAATCAGCGTCGGCATTTTTGCAGCCACTTCCCCCGCATATCAGTCTCATTCGTCAAGCTCGGCTGATACACTGGTGGATATCAGACTTACCTCTTGCCTTACTACTTGGCCCGGAAGTGTGAGGACTCGGCAGTTTCCGATACCAGTTTTGCCTCTTCTACTCCATAGTCCAGGTCATGACGGACTACGGACGGCATTGCAATTGTTAGAACCAGTCAAGTTCATCTTTTTTGACTTCATTCTGGCTTCACCCTCGATGTCGCTGGCATAGTCGCTTTTGCGCTAGTTGCTGTGCCGGTGATTGGCTCAGTGACTCCCTGGGAAGTCTTTACTATTATTACCTACAGGATATCGGACTACGATTTTTCGAGCTCCTGAGGCTATCACTTTACGACTATCTTACCATTCGCGACTACTAGGTAGTCTAGTATCTTGTGGTATTTGCTTCCGAGCAAGTATCCATTATCAAACTTTCGCAACCGTACCGTGTCGTCCTCCGCTCCGTCGGTGTTTCAAACGCCAGCCGTGGAGGAGCCTGTGGGACCCTCAATTGGCGTGCTTCACAGTTGATGACATATAGTCCCTGTCTTGCGTTGCGCTGATATCCTTTTGGTGACTCATCATGCCTCCTGCGACTACCCAGAATAGCTCAACGCAAAAACATGCTTCCCCCAGTTTCAACGCCGGGGCCAGACCATACAGATCGCACAAAGTCAGGGCATGCGATCTCTGCAGGAAACGCAAATCCCGATGCACTGTAGATATTCCCGGCCAATCATGCCTTCTCTGTCGGGTTCAAGGTGCCGACTGTCATTATCAGGAGGAACCCCTTCCGGACGCTTCGGTCTCCAATGGCTCTGACTCTAAACGATGGTCTGTCGACCAGGTCAGCGAGAGCTTGAGTACGGGACAGAAACGAAAACGTACTCCCGATACTACTATCTCTTCTCCTAATCCATCCCGAAGGCGTGAGAGTTTCAGTCGGCCGCGTGCCTATTCTGATAGTCGCGGAACCGATCGCAAACGCAATGGGGCAGAAGATCCCCACAATGAATCCGTCTTCATTGTCGGACCCGTGGTGGCCGATGATGCGCAGGTGATTGAAAAATTCATGCCCCCGGAAGAGCGTTCCAGCAAGTCTGTCGAGCCACATAGTCACCCGTATAACGTCTACTCGAGTGATCCGCGCAAACCGATCCTCTACACAACCGTCTCCAGGCGGAGACAGGGTATGCGGGTCGGTGTTCCCCCCGGCGAAAACCAGAAGGAAATTCTCGAACAGATTCTTGGACCTTTCAGACATGATCTAGTCAGGCTGTATGTTTCTCTTCTAAGTCATGTGTCGTGGTTTCCAATCAACTAACATATATCGCCAGTTTTATTGATAGGTTCAACATAGCTTTCCCCATTTTTGATGGAGAAAGTTTCTGGGAAGCATATATATCGGAGTCACCAGGCGAACCACCGGCGTCGCTTCTCTGTCAAGTGTACTCCATGTCATTGGTCTACTGGAAGCACACGCCTAAGCTCGCCTGCCATCCGAAACCCGATGTTCGGTATGCCGTGAACATGACGGTAGCCGCCCTCCACGAGGAATTCTCCGCCCCTGGCCTATCAACAATCAGCGCTGCTCTCATAGATTTGACCGGACGTCCGATCTTTTCGATGACGGGTAACGCCATCAGTTGCGGTCGACTTGTCGCCCTAGCTCATTGTCTGGGACTCAACCGGGATCCTAGCAACTGGAAGCTGTCTCCCCAGGAGAAGAACAATCGTATCCGTTTATGGTGGGGCGTTGTCATCCATGATCGTTGGTAAGCTCTTTCCCGTATACCCTTTAATCGACGTAGATACTAACCTCCGTCAAGGGGAAGCTTTGGGCATGGAGTTCCTCCTCAAATCGCCAAGAACCAATACGACGTTCCTCTTCCCACCATCGACGTGTTGGTGCCACCAACGCACCGGACCACGGAACGAGTAAGGGCAGCCCACTGTCACATCTGCCTTTGCCGTTTGACGGAAATTCTGGGAGAGTTGCTGCCGCTTGTTTACGGTCTGCAGCATAGCCTGCCACGCGAGACGACTAAAAAGCTGCGACAAATTCGGACTGACCTCGACATGTGGGAAGACTCTCTTCCTGACTGGCTCAGAGCACCGGTGCACCATAGCTCAGAGTCTCGCGTGTCAGGAATCAGTAGCCTGCAGTTATCCTTCCTGGCAGTTAAGATGCTGGTGAGCAGAGTCGAGCTCAAGGTACGTCGTTCTGAATCCCATATCGTGCTTGCTCCCGGTGTCGTGCTCTAATACACCCCATGCAGGAGGTGAATAATGCCGAGACGGACAACCCAGAAGCCCGTCGGTACTTCCAGACCGAGTGTCGAAAATCAGCAGAGGAGATTGTGCGATTCATCTCGTCTCTGCGCAAGCAAAACTTTCAAGAATTCTGGCTACCATGTACGTCGACCTTATTAGAATTTGCCTTTCGCCCAGATCTTGATCCATTGTTCTATGCTAACCCTCAATTAGACAGCGCATTCCACCTCACATCCACCGCCACCCTCCTCGTCCGCTGCGCCCTAGAGACAACAGACAGCGAAGTAGCCCACTCCTGCCTCGCAAACGTCGAAACTTTCCGGAGTATCCTGCGCCGCGTCAGAGAAGAAGAAGACTGGGATGTCGCTGACATGTGTCTCGATCACTGCGAACGCATCCTCAACCGACTCGCTGCCAACGGAGGCACCGCAGACCCGACCATCAACCCGTCGACCGGTCAATACGACAATCGTATCGTCAATCCAGCTGCCATCTCGCTCCCTGTCTCGCTCCCTGAAACGCAAACCAACAACGATATTGTGGACGATATGATGTCTATCTCAGGGACATTCGGGACCATGGACGGGTTCCCCTTTGACATGACGGGGATATGGGACGTATCTGTCTTTCAAGACGTCAATCTCACATAGTACATACATGCATAGTAATTGGGCTGAAGTAAAAGGTGTGGGTGGTTTTCTCTCTGTTTTTGGATTATACCCGTATAAAAGTCTCTTGTGAGGTCGTTGGGCATGTACTTAGGCTGTAATACCAAGAGATTAAAAGCCAAGGAAGATACCTACTATTTGCTCCTTCTCCCTCCTTTACAGAGTTGAGTGAGATTAGATACCTCGGCATTAAAAGAATTTTTCAATTTATACACAACAAGAATCAACCAGTGCGCTATTTTACAAATACCCCCATGATGCTCAGGAGCCCAAAGAACCATCTAGAGACGAACCCCTCACCCAGATGAGGAGAACAACGGATATACATTATAGGAAGGAGAGAATCGGATTGCCACAAGTCGTCAAGCATTACAGCCGCAGACGTCCCTTTACTGTTTACCAGCACCAAACATGCTGGTGAAGGAACCCTTCATCATCTTCATCTGTTCCTGACGAGCCTTCTCCTCTTCAGCAGCCATTTCCGCGAGCCACTTCTCTCCGTTCTCACGGATCTCCTTCTCAATCATCTCGTAATTCTTCTGGCCTCGTTCACGAATCTGGTCCCACAGCATCTTGCCTTGAGCAAGGCCCTCGGATGGGCTCTGCTCGCCGTCCAGCGTGCGGGTAGACTTCAAGCCCAGAGCAGATGCCAGGCTGCCGACTCCACGCTTGGGCCGTCTCTTTTGCTCTTCCTCCATTTCCTTCTCGAACCGCTCACGCATGATCTTCTCGCGCTTGGCGAATTCAACAGGGATGGAAGTACCCTCGAATGATTTCAGGACAGGGCGCACATCGTCGATACCCATACCGGCAATGTATTCAAGGAAGGGAATCAGTGCAACAAGGTTCTTGTCCTTGGGGTCACCAAGCCACTTGTCAAGAATGATGGCATTCTCCGGCTGTAGGCGCGCATGCTCCTCCTTGGTATCAATCAGGATCACCTTGGACAGATCGCGGTTCAGGTATGACAGGTCCTATAGGTAGCTTGGTCAATGACTGTGTCCTTTTGAATGCTGGGTCCGCGCTATCCCGGCCTACCTTGATGTATTCACCATCCTTATACCTGGTAGCTTCTCTGAACAGTGGCCAACGGATGATACGGTAGGGGTCGAGCTTCCGAAGAACCTGGTCCGCCATCATACTGGGGACACTAGTAAAGAGAACAAGCTCGTAGTACTGGTTCAGGTAACGAAGGAAGTAGTCGACACCTGGCCGCTTGGCAACGCGCCATCCGTGTTCACGGCTCCACTCACTATGCACAAGCAGATCTTCCATACTGAGAACAAGCGTGTAAGGTTGGCGGAGATTAGGGTCCTCATCAGGGAGCAGCTTCGGGAAAGCGGGATCCTTGTAGTAGCTGGTGATATCGCTCAAACGAGCCTTCATGCGGTTATACCATAACGAGAAGCTCCAGCCGGATGGAATGTCGGGATGCGCCTTCGCTTCTTCTTCGGTCTCCCAGTTCCGTCCCAAGTAAGCCACTCCTCCAGCGCCGGCTAAGAGGAAAAAGGCGTACATCAAGTTGGCCATGCGAGCCCTGCGGCGATCGAGCGAGGAGACGTAGCCATCCTTGGGAATATCACCTCGGCCATCATCGGTATAATCTTCAGAACGCGAAGGGTCCTCTGTGAGATTCAATGAAGTCTTGCCAGGTTTTTTCGGATGACCTTCTAGTTCTGCGGCAAGAGTGGACGGAATACCCTGGGTGAGGTCAGGAAGCGGTTGTTGAGGCTTAGATTCGGTCTGCGGAGGATTCAAGAATTAGATAGAGTCTGGAACACTTCAGAGAATCGAACGCTCACAGCTTCAGAAGCCTCCGACGCAGCGTTCCCCGCTGGATCCGCCTTTGTATCGAACTCTGTTTGTTCGGCCGAGTATTCTGGTTTGGGAGTAGACGAGGGCTGTTCGGACTGCGAAGGCTTGACGGATTCTGGCAGCTTATAAGGAGCCTTGGGCTTAGTGCTCTTTGCGTACCATCGCGATTTCGGAACTGAGACAGCTGATACGCGGATAGTGGAAGTAAGGACGCTGGACCTCGTTAAAGGTAGTACAGCACGGCTAAGCATAATGACGATGAGAAAACGGAGCACCTAATAGTATGATATAAGAGAAAGCAGCGCACTCATGCTCCGCTTGGGAAGATTTAAGATAGAACTAATAAAGACAGACAACTAGCTGATCAGATGGAAAAGTTGTCTGTCCTGATAATTGGCATATGATTAGAAGTAGTCTCATTCCAGAAGAGCCTCAGGAAAAGTTGGAAGCGCTCGCATACGGCGGGCGGCAGAATCCATCAATGCAGCCCTTACCACCGGCCTTAAAATCCGCCATCTTCCGCCAGCTTTCGTTCTTCTTCTCTTCTTTTCTTCTTCAGTTTTGAAAGTTGATTCAACCCAGATTAATTTGACCCAACAAGCTCTCATATCATGCATGCCGGGTTGTATTAGCTGGGGAGACTGAAGATTCTCTTCTATCCCACTCCCAAGAGCCGCAGCAAAGGTTTCCAGTGAAGCTGCAGCCCCGTTCGTGGGATACAAATTTTTCTTTCCTCGCAAGATATATCTGGCCGCTGATGTATACTCCCTTCAGGAGCTCTTGTTCCTTAACAGGTCACTAATCCTCAGTTAAGTACAAAAATGGCATGAACACAGAATTTGATCAAAGTTCACACTCCTTCCCATAAATATTCACACCGTATTTGTACCTAGCCCCGGGCGTCCATTATCTGCCAACATGGATTCCCTCTCGAATGCTTTCGAGAAGGTAAAGATCGAGGGCCCGCCACCGGAACTCGATACAAGTGAGAATCAAGAGGACGTGGACATCCTTGAGGAGGCCTTCCTTCCTCCGACGCCCTTTCGCTTCCTCGATCTTCCTTCCGAAATTCGTCTGCGCATATATGACCTTGTCTTATTCACACCTTATCGTTTGAAGCCGCGGCGAGCCAACGGAAGTGTAGGCGCCTCAGCAAAGAATCCTCCCATCGCCCCCTTTCGGGTCCGTGTCGCTCTGTTCCTCGTGTGCAGGCGTATCCACGATGAGGCTACGGAATATTTCTACTCTTCGCTGACTTTCCGCCTGTTTCCAATCCAGGATTGGTGCCGCACGCCAACTGTCAGAGCTTTGCCAGCAAGACACAAGGCGTCCGTGAGGACGATCGAGCTGATTCTGGGCTCCAGTTGGACCTCGCCTCCTCGCGAGTGGGTGGTGACCAATCGATTGGGGTTAGAAAAGATGGTGCGCGTTCGAACGTTGAAGGTGTTCATTGAGTGCGATCCATCGCATCCTGTTTTCGAAGGCTTTCGCATATCCCCAGGCTTCTACACCGATTTTGCGGGCAAGATCCTCAAGCAGGTTCTGGAGAGATTGCCCCATGTGGTACAAGTGGAATTTGATGGTTATCCATCGGTTTCCAAAAGTGGAAGCCTAATGAAGCGCCTGCTACATGAGGCGAGGGCAGCACAGAAAAAGATTCTCTGGGGACCCGAGCGAGACTGGTCCGACTGGGATAGTGAGGGTGAACAAAAATCGAATCAAGTGGAATTTGAAGAAGCAGACTGCCAGAATTCAGTGCAGTAAATAGTGACACAACGCCTGGCTAAGGTTAGATCGATACGCTATATGACCTCCAATAGTTTGAGGCCTATAACACGTTCATGTGGTTCGTCGGATAGAGCCCGTGACCGTTGTGCAGTCCTAAAAGGCCGAATCATCAGCATGGCGTTCGGGGTCGTATAATACACATTATTGTTTCAGCGCATTGGCTCAACCATCCATACTATATCAAGCATCATTTATCTATTTGTAATTTCATCTCTTCGGTCCATAGAAGTCAGGCATAGAGCTCCAGAACATAGGGAAAAAGGTTGGTTGGTATTCCTCATCTTCCTCCGGCGTGTATCTATAGTTCCTCGTCCACATCCATGCCCGTCCCTTCTTGAGCTCCCTTTCCGCTGGACAAACGCGCCACCGAAGCCTCCTTGTCAATCATCTGCCGCGATACCGCAACGATGTTGTCTTCGATCAGTTGCTGACTCACATCTTCAATGTCTGTACAGATGGTCAATAATAAGCAAATCAAGGAAAGACAGATGTAGGACTTACGCTTCTTGGGGTCAACCTTGCCAACATATCGTGTCTTGAGCTGGTCCTTGGTGAGCTCTGTCTCCTCCTTGACCCGCTTCTCGTAACCTTCAGCTAGGCTCACTAGCTGCTTCATCCGCTCCACGTTGTGGTGGCCTTCCTCATGGAAGTCGTTCATCTGCAAAGCCTCTGTCCACACGTGCTTGTGCAAGTTCATCAGCATGTTCTCCTCCAGTCCCGTCTTGCGATAGTTAATAGCAATGCTGTAGTAATGTCTGTTCAATCCGTGGATGAGCGCCTGGATTGATGGCTTGTTCAGGTGACCCAAGTTGGATGTCGTTTGCCGGGGCTCCTGGCCCATGACGACGGTCTGAGGCTGGATTAGTCGGAAGGCATCGATCACAACCTTTCCCTTAACAGACTGAATCGGATCAACCACAACTGCGACTGCTCGGGGAGTGAGCTGTTCGAATGACTGCTGAGTGTTGATATCCACGGACGAAAGCCAGCAGCCAAAACCAGGATGGGAGTGGTACCATCCAACGACGGTTTCTGGTCTGTGTTTCGAGAATCTATCAGTGCTGCAACTTTCAAACTCGCTTCGTCCTGCAGGGACCTACCGTCCAGTTTGCCGAAGCATCTCCATCATCTTGGTCTGAAAAACGGGGTCCACGGCCTCAACACTGACACCAGTACCGCTCTGGGGCATGGCAAAAACATCAACCACACGAACTGTGTATTCATCGACGAATTCCCCCAGCATCAGGCCCATGACTTCCATAGGCACACCTGCCCGACCATGTCTTAACATCTTCAACAAAGCTAGTGATGAAATGTGTACAGTTTCAGAGTTATCGATCAGGTTCGGGGTGTCCTATAAAAAGTATAGTATCAGCCATCATAGTTTGCAGTGACTCGATCCCATAAGTGACCTGTATTCAACGGTGACAGAAGCCTTTGACGACGACCTTGAATAGACGGCCACAAGCAACAGATGCAAAGCATGAATGACGCAAAGGACCGACTTACACCACCTGGAGCTGCGCTTCCCATACCCATGCCCTGTGCGGCCTGAAGCATCCGGTTGAGTCGATCCATGGTGACTCAAGAGACTGTGAAAGAACTGGGAGAGAATGTAGAATAGCTTCCTGTATGGAAGCAATGACGGCGCGACAGTCGGTCGGCGGCACACAGGCAGATTTTCTGTTGCGTGGAGGCTAAAATGAATAGAAGTAAATGGTTAGATGTTGGGTAGCCCGGTTGAGGGAGGTGAGATCAGATGGAGAAAAGGATGACTGTAGAAATAGAACGAGCCAGTTGGTTGAGTGGTGATGCTCCGGAGATCCCAAGCAATATCCTAGCTGGGCGTGACCGAGCTCAAGATCCAGTGAGCCTGACGGAGGCGGTGGGAGCAGCTCTTCCGTCTAGTCTCGGCCTTTTCCCCTCTGGCCTCTGCGGCCTTTGCTCGGCCTCCCCTTCGCATCCTCCATCACTTATAATTTCCCCAGCCGACAGGACGGAAATTCATTGCAGCACCATAATCTTTGATATTGTTCTGTCTTCTATACCACGGCTGGTGCATTTTTTTTCATCAGAAATCATCTATCTCTAAAGAATCTTCCAAACCTTTGGCGCAGTTATCTTGCTTTAACATCACGCCATCTTGAGCGCTTCTATAATCGATCTGAGCCATACCACTTCGCCATCTCGCGACTTGTCTCACATAATTATACGCGGTCCTGAGTGAAGAATACCTGTGCATTTATGCACAGTCTCATTTACAATGGCTGCTCCTCCGATTGACCTGGATCTCAATGGCTCCGGTGATCGCAGCAAGAAGGTTGCGTACTTCTACGACTCGGACGTAGGTAACTACGCCTATGTTTCTGGGCATCCCATGAAGCCGCACCGTATCAGGATGACACATAGCCTGGTTATGAACTATGGTCTCTACAAGAAGATGGAGATTTACGTGAGTGTTCACGGACTTTCCAGGCTAGATTCAAGCAGAATACTAATGGGTAATTGGCGCAGCGTGCGAAACCAGCCTCAAAGTATGAAATGACACAATTCCACACCGACGAATATATCGACTTCCTTTCAAAAGTTACGCCAGACAATATGGACCAGTTTTCCAAAGAACAGGGCAGGTATAATGTTGGGGATGACTGTCCGGTTTTCGACGGGCTGTTTGAGTTCTGCGGTATTAGCGCTGGAGGCAGCATGGAGGGTGCGGCGCGCCTCAACCGTAACAAATGCGACATCGCTGTGAATTGGGCTGGAGGTCTCCATCACGCGAAGAAGAGCGAAGCGAGTGGTTTCTGCTATGTGAATGGTAAGCTTATCTTCCTGTGCGGTGATTGTCATTATCGACCGACATTTTCTCACTTTCACAGATATCGTCCTTGGTATCCTCGAGCTGTTACGATTCAAGCAGAGAGTCCTTTACGTCGATATCGATGTCCACCACGGCGACGGTGTCGAGGAAGCGTTCTACACAACTGACCGCGTCATGACTGTATCATTCCACAAGTATGGAGAATACTTCCCGGGGACCGGTGAGCTTCGTGATATTGGAGTGGGACAGGGCAAGCACTACGCTGTCAACTTTCCACTTCGTGATGGCATCGATGACATTTCGTACAAGAGTATCTTTGAGCCTGTTATCCGAAGTGTCATGGAATGGTACCGCCCAGAAGCTGTCGTCCTTCAATGTGGCGGTGACAGTCTCTCGGGTGATCGTCTAGGTTGTTTCAATCTGAGCATGAGAGGCCACGCAAATTGTGTGAACTTCGTCAAGAGCTTCAATTTACCGACCATGATTCTCGGTGGCGGTGGTTACACAATGCGCAATGTTGCGCGAACGTGGGCTTTTGAGACAGGGATTCTGCTAGGGGATAGTCTAGGTCCCGAACTTCCGTACAATGACTATTACGAGGTGAGTCCATACTGGATAGAATATTGAATGCGTGCAGATTGCTAACAAGGTACCTTAGTACTTTGCACCGGACTATGAACTGGATGTGCGTCCGTCGAATATGGACAACGCCAACACGAAGGATTATCTCGACAAAATCCGAGCTCAAGTGGTGGAGAATCTCAAGCGGACGGCTTTTGCACCCTCTGTGCAGATGACTGACGTACCTCGCGAACCTCTTGTTGAAGGCATGGACGATGAGGCAGACGCAATCCTCGATGATCTTGACGAAGACGAAAACAAGGACAAACGCTTCACGCAACGACGATTCGATCAGTATATCGAGAAGCCTGGTGAACTCAGCGATAGTGAAGACGAGGAAGAGAATGCAGCGAACGGAGTTCTTCGCAAGCCTCAATCGCTGAAGCGCAGAAACCAGATCAATTATCGCAATGTCGACCTGGACTCCGGCCTTGATAGTGGGGTTGCCACTCCCCAAGAAGCCTCGTCGGTCCCGGATGACGACATGGACACCACTGCCGACACGAAAATGGCCGAAGCACCTCTACCCGAGTCTGATATTCCACCCTCGCCATCTGCCGCCGGTTCGACTTCTAGGAGAGACGAAAAAGCGGCTGCAGAGCCTACTGATATGGCTGTTGATGGACCAGAAGAAGTTGCCGCTTCTGCTGCTGTCTCCAGCCAACAATCCCCAAAGTCACAGGATGAGGACACTACGATGGAAGATGCAGGTGTGCCTGTCCCCGGAATTGAGCAGTTGGAGAAACCAGTGTCGTCAGTTGAGGGGCAAGAAGAAGAGAAGAATCCAGAGACACCGGCTTCAGAAAAGGCAGTCCGAGAACCTTTATCTCCCATCAAGGCTTCGCCTATTCCGGGTGAGAAGGATGCCTCGGACATGCCAGAAACGAATGATGCAACGGAACCGGCTGAGCTCAAGGCCAAGGAGAAGACTCCTGAGGCCCCTATCGATCAACAGGCTGTGAAAGCCGAGCAGGAGACTTCTGAGGATGCCAGTGAAAACAAGACAAGCAGCCAACCCACAGGAGTAAGCTCAAAACAGCAACCTGAGGAGGCTGAGAAAGGCGGGGATTGATGTTCTGCTCTCTGTCTGTGAAGGCGTCCATCCACTGGAGGTTTCTGGCGTAACAGGGCAATGGTAGTATGGTGTTTCGGGCTCTCGAAATCATTGCATATGTTCTATGAGGTGGCCATTTATTTTCTTACATCCTGGTGCTAGTTTTTGCTTCTTTTCTCGAGCACGTTATGGTTCAATATGACATTATCTTTATTCACCCTTCGCTAGCATGTGACCTTTCATCAACCAATCTCTCCTGTATACTATCTGCGTTTGGTGTTGACTCCGGTAATCCAGGGTCTGCATAGATCATTCATTCGCTATCAATGATCTAATCTAATATAAGAAATATATGAAAACATCTATGTCTTTGATTTCAGTATCGAGCAGCGATAGCAGTTATGGACTTTTTGGCATGATTGAGCAGATACAAGTGAGCCCTTGTAAGGGTAAACAGGCAACTGGTTAGTTCACTCGGGGTACGGTTAAGTAATCACAGACTAGTCCTGTTAAAGCTTAGCATTAGGGCATGCTCTGGTCCCCAAGGCGGGGCAGAAGAGCCAATGGTGATCAAGCGCCAAGATTTTACACACCACGCACACTAAGCGAGAGCAATTCGAAACCCGAACCGCCGTGCAAACCCTCGACGTCGCCCAGATCCCTCTCGACCTTCGTCGCCCTTTCGCCCTTTTCCCAGTATCCGACACCGACTACGTGATACCTAGCCAAGATGTCTAAGAGAGGGTGAGTCACAATGCTTCTTTTCCGGGTTTTGCGGAGCGCTGCGCGGTCGAAAAAGAGCGCACAGGTGGTGGACGGTTCTTTCATAGCTGGAGACCAAGAAGCATGAGGTGGATTATCGTTGAGATAAGAGGAGGAACTGAAGAATCTTCGAAGGGTTATTTTGGAGCGGCATTTTTGATAGGGATCGCGTTGGGGTCCAAGGGATATTGGGATTTTCAGCAAGGGCCAGATATTGAAGGAATGAAATGCTGATGATTGAATTTTGAACAGTCGTGGTGCCGCCGGCAACAAGCTCAAGATGACCCTCGGTCTGCCTTGGTACGTTATTGCAATTCCTACTCTACCGAGTCGAACACGATTGTCGAAGTGACCTATGTCACATTGTCTCCTTCGAGCCTACACAACCCGTCATTCATCATCACGAAAATGTCCACCTACATCTCAGTCAACCAACAAATCAACTCTCCCCATCAAATGTGTTCGACTCATCAGAAAGGACGAATCATAGACTAACGTGTTATTTCGTGATATAGCGGTGCCGTGATGAACTGCTGCGACAACTCTGGTGCCCGTAACCTGTACATCATCTCGGTCAAGGGAATCGGTGCCCGCCTGAACCGTCTCCCCGCTGCCGGTGTCGGTGACATGGTCATGGCCACCGTCAAGAAGGGAAAGCCCGAACTTCGTAAGAAGGTCATGCCCGCCGTTGTCGTCCGTCAGAGCAAGCCCTGGAGAAGACCCGACGGTATCTACCTGTACTTCGAGGACAACGCTGGTGTGGTGAGTACACACTTTTTTTCCTTTTCCTTGGAGCGGCGGTTACGGTTTGTACTCGTGATTCCGAGATATAAACGAGACCGTCGCTATCAGCAACAACAGATTCAAGAATGAAAGCTAATCACCTCAATCCACTGCAGATCGTCAACGCCAAGGGTGAGATGAAGGGATCCGCCATCACCGGCCCCGTCGGTAAGGAGGCTGCTGAGCTCTGGCCCGTAAGTTCCCTATTATTTTCGACGCATGCTCCGGTTAACGCAAGGGTACTAATCCTCGGTCAAATAGCGTATTGCTTCCAACTCCGGTGTCGTTATGTAAAAGAATCAATACAAAAAGGCGTCGTGACATTAGGAAGTCAGGGAGAGATAGAAGCAGCGATACCAGGGAATGAAATCATCTTTTTTTTCGGTGCACATGACACAAAGCCACGAATCTGCATGAACGGGTCCGACCTCATCTAAAGCCGCGCATCTCTTTCCTAAATGACGTGTCTCTCTATTGTTTCTTCTACTGGCGATTCGGAAATACAAAAAATGTTCAAACTCGTTTCCTCTTTATATCTTC